GGATGCTCGTGGTTACAGGGTGTTCATGGATGCCCAGGACAGGGCACACAGAGGAATGGGAGTGCCCACAGGGAGTATGAGCAGGTGTGGGGACGCCTACATAGGTGCAATGTAGGGGTGCCCCGGGGTACACAAAGAGCAGGGGTGCAGGTTAGGGGTGTACATGGAACAGGGGTGGATCCTGCAAGGCACTTGATCCCTGGGGAGGGGGCTGCAGGGCCACAGGAGCTGGGGACAATTCCAAGGTTTCCCTAGTCCCCAGCACAAGAGCAGGGGGAGCCCCCAACTGACCAAAGGCCTTTTTGGGCTGGACCAGGCGGAGGGTGAAGGGCTGGGCCCGCGGCAGCTCCCGCAGCATCCGGGCGACTTCGTAGTGCCGGCAGCCCACGATGGTGTGGTCGTTGATGGCCTCGATGCTGTCCCCCACACACACCGTCTGCAGCCGGTTGATGATGCTCCCCTCCTTGATCCTCTGGGGGTGGGGGACAGGGACACACAGCAACAGGGTGGCACAGTGGGACAGTCAGACACAGCCCCCATCCCTCCCACCACACAAACACCTCTGCGATCCCATGGCCTTTAGTAGCTGGGTCAGGCAGGGAGGGTCCCCCCAGATTTCCCCATGGCAGGGGAGACCCCCAGGACCAGGGTGGACCCAGAGGGGAGTCAGGGAGGAGCCTGGTCGCAGGAAGGGGGTGCAGCATGGATGTCACCCACGGGGCCACAGCCCCCAGGGCTGCCCTGGGCCCAGCACAGCCCCCCAGGGGGGTTCACCTTGATGAAGGCGTAGCCAGCCCCGTTGTCTGTGATGGTGAGGCCGAGCGCGTCCTCCGTCTTGGTCACCTCCACCTCCTTGGTCTCGCCCCGGACGTGGGCAAAGATGAAATCCTCGAGGCCAATCTGCCCCCCCAGCAGCTTCTGCATGTCCACTTTGTGCGTGTTGAGCGTGCAGAAGAGGATCTGCCCCGGGGAACCCCGTCAGCAGGGGCTGATGATACCCCACCAGGGTGTTGGTGTTGGGGCCCAGGGCAGGAGTCAGCCATGGCAGGGTCCAGTCAGGTCTGGGCACTGCTAGACCAGCAGGGTCCAGAGAACCCCAGCCTGCCCGAGGACCCCACACTGCCCCATCCCCACGCACCTTCCCACAGTGCCAGGCAGCTGGAATCAGCCAGGGAACAGGCAGCCCCGGCTCCCTGCCCACTTGCAGGGGGGAAACTGAGGCAAGACCCCCCCAATCCCTCCCCAGAGGAGCCAATAGAGACCAGAGACTAAAGCACTCTTTTCCACGACATTCTGGGGACTGCATTTACAAGCAGCTGGGGACTCGTGGGAGCACAGGCCACAGCCAGTGCTTCAGGGTTGGTGTCCCCCCTCGGGCACAAAGCCCCCTCCCCGGGTGCCACAGCCCCTCACCTCGGTGGGCGAGATGTCGAAGACCTCGGCGATTTTGGCGTAGAGCTCCTTGACGTTGGTGAAGCCCTCGATGCGCCCCGTGGGGCTGC